ACCAATCCTATTTTGCATACCATTTCCAGTTCCCTCTCCCTCCCATCCGCCCATTCCCACAGCCATCCCCCCCATCTACTCCTCAGGGAGGGTGAAGCCTCCCATGGGGATGGTCACTAAAGTCTGTCACATCATTTGGAGCAGGACCTAGGCTCTTCCCTATGTATCTAGGCTCTTCACTCCTCCCTCTCTACAACTGGATTCCAGGAGTTTGGCTCAGTGCTTAGCTGAGAATCACTGCTTCTGCTTCCATCAGATACTGGATAAAGGTTCTATGATGGCATATACCACCCTGAACACACCTGATCTCCTCTGAGTTTGGAAGCTAAGGAAGGTTGGGCCTGGTTAGTACTTGGATGGGCCATCTGAAAGCACTTTAAAGGGCAGCTTAAACTCCCATCATTCCTGTGGCAGGGTATGGAAATAACCTGCATATTGTTCTAACTGGTTTTCCTCTGCAGTTCTTCATGACATTCATCTGAAATGCAAAATAACTTTTCTCAATCACATCCCAGGGGAGCCAAGTGTTTGCGGGCTATTAAGAGACATTGTCCTAGTGAGGAAGCATATAATATGATTTAATGCAAGCTGAACTCAGGGAATCCATCAGAAAAGGGACAACGGAAGACAGACCAAAGTATGTACAAGTTGACCTGAAAGATGGGCATAGTGGTACCTGCTTTATAATCCCATACTTGGCAGGCTGAAGGAGGAAGATCACAAGATTAAGGCCAGCCTGGTCTGCATGGTGAGACCTTACCTCAAAAACCCAAAGCAATGAAGAGTTAGTCAACTGCAGCTCTTTCAGTATGATTAAGGCAGTGATGAATATTCCACCTTGCTTAGCACCCCCTCCTCATGCATACCAAATAAAGGCAAGTAATTATGGACTACTGATACATTTACCTCCTCTCCCTCCACAAAATAGACCCTTACTTTTTATAGCATTGCTTGTTCAATGTTACTGAAACTAAGATTTACTGAGTGCCTTATCCATAGAAAGTCACAGAGTAGAGAGAATTCCAAGAGACATGGTTATGCAGAAGTCTTGCCTTGGGCACTAAATGGCAATATGACCCTAGGTGGTAGTTGTTTGACATCATCTGAAGGTGGAGAAAATTATAATATTTAACTGAGAGAAAGTTCACCAAGGAAACATACAAACTGGTACATTTATTTAAAGGCCAGAGCACAGCTGATGGGAGATGTCATTCTGTAAATATGCTTCTCTTATTGGTTAATGAATAAAGTACTGTTGGCAAATACAAACCCAAGATAGGTGGGCCAAGACAGGTGGAGGATTCTGGGAAATGTGGAAGAGGTGGAATGTGATCTCGGGAAGGGAAGATGTGAGTGTGGCATTCTCGGTAAGATATGACCATGTAGAAACACATATATTAATAATTATGGGTTAGTATTTAAGACAGAGCTAGCCAATAAGAAACACTAGTAACGGGCCAACATTTTCATAATTAATACAGCATCTTTATGGGTTATTTGGGGCTGACGTGGCTCACACAGAGGGTGCACGGATTTACAGTGCTCCCTGCTAGGTGAGATGTGGGTAGTGTTTCTATAGAGCTATGTAGTTGCTCTTTACTGAGCTCTTAAAGAGCCAGGCACTGAGGGAGACATTGGGGAAAAGAGCAGATTAATAAGGCTGCTATCGTCTTATCCTCACATGACACTTTGAAGGGTGTTACTAACAAACAAGAAAGCAAATACAAGATTAAATCGCACTGAAAGTCACTATTAAGAGACGGACAAAGGACAGAGGCCAAGACACTACTGACAAAACACCTAATGGCGATCTAGACAGGAGTGGCATTTCTTTCGTGTGCAAAATTAAAACACCATTCATAGGAATCATCAATGTATTATCTCTCCAGATCTGTGACATTAGGTTTCTAATAACATTTTTCACAGTACAACAATAACAATACCTACTGGGGCCCGTGAGATGGCTTGGCACACAGGCAATCGCTGGTGTGGGTAACTTGAGGACAACAGCTTCATCCCACAAGTGGCATGCTGGAAGGAAAGAACCTATTCTCCACAATGATCCTCTGAAGTCCACACTCACACCATGGAGGGTATACCCGCAAACATATGCACAAAAATGCAAAAATAAGTGTAAAACCATAATTGCTTATACCCTATTGGTAAATGGAAGATAGTGTGAAGCAGACTTCCCTGCTGCTCTGAACTTTTAACCATGGAAATGCATGGTTTATGGAATCCTGGTACTGTCTCCTACTGCTTGTTGATGAAAGTCATTTGGGAAATAAAAAGAACTCACACATACGTAAATACAAAAGTACCTGTGGATAAAATCATGCACATTTGTGTGATTTTATCCTCTCCAATGGATAATGGGAATTGGGCCTTAAAACTTTTGCCTGTCCACGAAGGATTCTCAGTGAGTGAGATATATTCACTTTACAGTGATCATTCTTGGGATTTTTTTCTTTGTTGTTATTGCTGTTGGAATGTTCCTTTTTCTGTGACAAGAGTTCACTCCACATCCCACACTGCCCTAGAACTCATTATGTAGCCCAGGCTGGCTTCAAACTCGGGGCAATCCTCAACTTTCACATTGATGGAATTAGAAGTTCGCCCCACACATGTTTGTTGAAAAGATGAACAATGGATATGCTAGGAAGAAAATTCCACCCCATTTGTACCATTTTTAATTCTTTCAGGAAGATCTATTCTAAAACTGAAATTTTAGTGAAGCAATGTCTAAGGCCAGGAAACGCTAGTTAATTTCTTCTTCCCTGTTTTGCCTTTTCCCAGTCTTCTCTTTTGGATGGGAACTTACTGGGTTCTGATTCTTCCATTTGTGTTTTTCGATTTCCTGGAGGAACTCCTACATTTGTCCAGATTGGAATGGAGGATAACAGAGTATGGAAAGAAAGCAATGAACAAACGATAATCCCACCTTTCTCTAAAACCCTTTCTGAAGGAGAGAAACAAGAACATCATGGCTTTGGCACAATGGACTTGAAGCCTGGGGAGAAAAGATGATTCCTGGCTCTGGCTTTTCCAAGGAAGCTACAATCTGACACAATGTGTTTCTCCTTCTGTGGTGTCTGTATTTGTATAATAATGGTATTTTTCAAAGAACCACTGTCTTTTAATAGCAAGAGGACAGGTTTAAGTGGTTTCTGACCCAAGTAGTCCCTGTGAACTTTCTCCCTTGCTTCATTGGTCTTGAAAACAACATAGAACCGTTAGTTTATTTGTTTTATGACACAAGGTTCCACACTGTGGCTTAGACACATCTGTAGTTTCTCTGTGTCTTATTCTAGCCTTTACTCAGTGGAACTCATCCTGGCTCAGTCTCCCAGGAAGGGATTACAGGCATGAGCTGTTGGAGCCATCATTATGTGACATCTCTCTGGAATGGATTTTTATCATAAAAGTTGTCCTCTGGAGCGTCATTAGGAAGCTTTCATTAACTGAAGGTTAATTATCACTGAGTATCACTTTCACTCATTACAAACTTAGACTTCTATAGAGTAATATGGTGATTCTAAGTGTGAAACAACAAAAATGAAATGGAAACTGGAATTAGCACTATATCATAACATCTTTTTATAACATTTATAATGTTATAACATTGTATAGCATTTACCAGTCCATCCATATTCCTGCAATAATTTTATAGTCCTCATGCACTTAAGAGGATATATTCTGGTACATGAAAATGATAAAGAGATTCGAAGGCATTTCAAACCTTAGAAATAACTATCAATTTGAAAGGGCTTGGCTTTTGAGAAACTCTTTGTAATTTTCAAATCCCTCTCACCTACTATAAATTCTTAACTGAGCTTCTGAACAGTATCAGGGGATTTGGTGTAGGGTGATATTATAATCATAGGATTGCAGAATTTTAGGCTCAGAAAGCGTTTTAAAGGTCATCTAAGGAACCACTTCATTTAACAGGTAGGAAGCTCAATTGCCCTAGGTCCCACAGCCAACACCATCAAGCACTGACCTGCTCAGGGGGATCCCAATGCACTCTGGGTGAGACACAGGAGACACCAGATGCATACAAACAAAGCCTTCCCTATATTTGTTGGATATGCAGATCTTATAACAAGATCACAACTCACACTCACTAAGTCGATCATCATCTCCAATTCCTACCATTCAATGCACTGTTGCCAAGCACGGAGAATAAAAAGGCAAACAGGTCACTTCTTCCGAGTTTACTCTCCCTCTTCTAAACTGAAGTATATAGCTACACAATACTTGGGGAACCTTTATTTGAAAATGTGTTGTCTATTGTGACTATATCCAAAGACCTGGAGTGCTTCAGGAGGCCAGGAAAGGATTCTAGGAGGAATCACAGAGGAGAAAAGAGAGTTTTCCCAGCTATATACATGGACTGAGGAGTACTCTCTCTCTCTCTCTCTCTCTCCCTCCCTCCCTCTCCCTCTCCCTCCCCCCCCCCCTCTCTCTCTCTCTCTCTCTCTCTCTCACACACACACACACACACACACACACACACACACACACACACACACACCAGAGTCAGTTAACTACATCACTCTCTGCTGTTTTCCGGGATCTCCTGCAAGCCAAGCCACACAAGCTCTGCTTGGAGTAAGGACTAGAAGCTAACTCACCCAGTTTTAAGAGGGGCAAAGAACAAGAGCCCGCACATCCTTTTCTCCTCATCAGCAAAGACCAGAAAAAAAGAGAAAAGGGAAAACAACCCCAAGGAAAGAAAAAGCAAACGGGAATAGGAAACCTTTTACAGCGCCTGCTCCTGGAGCCTGGGGCTGGACGGCCCCAGGGGACAGATGCAAGGGCTGCCGACCTAGTGGAGGGTCGCCGACAGCAGAGCCGGCGCCCGCAGGCCAGTGCGCAGAGCAGCTCGGCGGCGGGACGCAGCGCCGGGAGCCTTGGCAGCCCGCGCCCGCCCGCCCTCCCTCCCTCCCGCGTCGCCTGCCAGCGCGCGGCGCCCGCTCGCTCCGCCCGTGACTTCAGTTCGGCTCCACCCCCGCGCGGCGGCGGCTCGCAGCTCCGTCCCAACCCGCGCGCTCCGCACAAGCCCAGCCTGGGCGAGCGGCAGCCACCTGCCCGGCGCCGCCTCAGCGCGCCCCGCTGCGGCCCAACTTGGATGGAGTTGGGGTCCTGAGCGCACACCCTGCCGCCGTCATCCCGGAGCCCCGCGCCGCCGCCTGCCTTCGGTCCGGGACCCCCTCTCCGCTCCTCTCCGCTCCCGAGATGGGAAAAGTTGGCGCCGGCGGCGGCTCCCCAGCCCGGCTGAACGCGCTCCTGGCGGGCGCGGGGCTTCTGGTGCTCTTCGCCCCCGGCGTCTGCAGCAGCCGCTCCTGCTGCCCCTCGCAGCACCCCGGCTCGACCCCACGCTGGACCCTGACCCCCAAAGGTTTTCCTCACCCGGGAGCGCTGGGTCGAGCTCCTGCCACGCCCCCGCCCCTCCACTTGAGACCCCTGTTCGCAGTGGCCCCCGGGGACCGAGCGCTGTCTCTGGAGCGAGCTGGGGGCAGCAGGGTGTCAGTGGCGACCGCCGCACGCTCTGGCCGAAAGAGACGGAGTGGAGCGGATCCTGAGAAGACTGAACCCGGAGAGGGTGCCAGTCGGAGCCGCAGGGGCATGCTAAGGGATGGAGGGCAGCAGGGGCCTGGGACTGGTGCGCGGGACCCGGACAAAGCCACCCGCTTCCGGATGGAGGAGCTGAGACTGACCAGCACTACATTTGCCCTGACTGGAGACTCAGCACACAACCAAGCTATGGTCCACTGGTCTGGCCACAACAGCAGCGTGAGTAGGATGGAAGTGTGGGCAAGGGGGTGAGAGAAGGAAAGGGTTACAGCGCACCGTGAGATCTGACGGAGAATTTGGGGGAAAGAGGTTTGTGGACTGGGGAGAGGCTGCACAGCTGGCCTCCCTCAGGAGTTAATGGTGCCCATTAGGGAGCCCTCCTAACCCCCTCCGACAGTCTTCTCCAAATCACAAGGATCAAACTGGAACTGAACAGGCAGATGTTTTATTTTTTTCAGTGGCACTGTTGGGTAGACCTGGAGACCAAGAACGGGGTGCTGGGGTGTGTTAAAGTAGTTTTGATGCAGAGCTGAAAGGGTTAAATATCCAAGCCCCTTGAAATTCCCTTAAGGGACTTTTCCTTCCCTGCATAGACTCTTGTAGTCCACGGAGAAGTTGCCTGTGTGGGCTTTTTATTTTATTTTTTATACAGAACGCATGGCCCCTTTTTCAGCCCAAGAGAGGTGAACTGCAGTGCGATATAAGGTGCCCTTTAGTATTATTATCTATTTGTGGACCAAATGGATGCAAGTTCCAGTGCAGAGCCTCCCCAGCATCTTCGGACAGCACTAGCAAGTGCGTTTTGAGAGCCAGGGCTTTTCTAGCCCATGAAAGGGCAGTTGTTCTCTGGCATGGTCAGCCTGGGGAAGATCAGATAGATAGACTCAGTGACAACAACTCCCTGTTTTCCCACCGACTGACCTCCTCTAGAGAGGAGCTCAAATAGAGATTCGAATGTCCCTTATGAAGAAAGGGAAGAGATTTCAGGCCCTAGGAGGTTTAGGGTGCAAGTCATCACTGATTCTATCAGAAGCCTCAGATTTTCAGAAAAGCCTGGATGTTTGAAATCTGAGGAAGATGTACCGTTTAACCCAAACGTAGAAACTTTAATTCTCTGAAATAGTAAAGAACCAGCTTTGATGGTAATAACTGAAGAGGATTTAAAAGTGTATGAAGTTATCCAGCCTGCTTTGAAGCAGACAAGAAAAGTTAAAGGTTTATAAAGAGGCGGGGGTGGGGGAGGGTCGCAGTTGCTGCTTCCATTGGGTGATGGAGACCTTGTCTACAATGTGCACAGTGATGCAACCTGGTACCTTTGAAAATGTTTTCTGTTGTGCTGTGCATGCCGGGAACCTTGCCAACAAGTGCCACTTCACTGAGCTGTGTTCATCGTTGGGTTTTTAATGAGAGTTGAGAAGATTTTGAAATATATGGTGTCTCGCATTTGGTGATGTAGCCTATCCTGTACTGATGACAGCAGCTGGATATTTTTTCCACTTCAGCCATCATGACAGAGTGACAGAGGCTGCTGTTCCAGGTGGCTCTCAGGATTGGTTTTAATCAAAAATCGAAGCTAAAATTCTGGGTGCTTTTGTCCTGGTGCATTCCTTTAACTACCATGTCTTTTTGGGTAGTAACTACTAAACTTGTTCCTGTAATTTTAACTAAGGTCTTCCTATGCTGGCTGGTTAACTTGGGCTCCTTTGACTGATTAACTCATAGCTCTGGCTTTAGGAGGAGATTTTAAATATAGCAAATGTATGAGGTCTTGTTGTAGTAAGAAGATAAAAGAAAGATAAAACTTTGGACTCAAAATATTTCTGGCTTTTAATTTGATTCAAGCTGTAAAATATCACTTACCCACTAGACCTCTACTATAAAAGATCTTGGAAAGAGATTACATCTTTGGCAAATTTTAACATCCATTTAAGAAATGGCGCCAAGCACTGCCAGCTTTTAACTTTTATTTATTTATTTTTTTAGATGTATATGAGTTGAGTGGGACTTACTTGTGTTAGGGCTTGGAGAGGAAGGTGAATGAAAGAAAGTGTAGGAAATAATAAAGATGGTGAGTGTTAAAGGTTTGAACATGTAAATTATGTTAACCATTGAGTGAGATTTTGACCCTCTGAAGTCTCATATTCCAGTTACCTTCACTCCACTGAATTTCTCACATAAATACTTTTTCTGTTGTATTATGCATTTGTGTCTATGAGGGAGAAAGAGACACAGTGTTTATCCAGGTCCATTAAAGAAAGCCAGTCCTGCTAATCTGGACCAGGCTCCCAAGACAGAAACATTAAAATATTTTATATAGAGGAAAGATTCAGAAAGACACATTTGGACAACACTGTGCAGCGTAGTAAAGAGAGACCCGAATTTCAGACCAGCTTATTAGTGTTTTACCACAGCATGTTGTTCATGCTGTGAGTGTGGGGACTGGCTAACGTGAGGGGCACCTCTTGATTTCTTTCCAAGAAATCTATGTCAAATGGCTCATAAATAGGCACCATAACTGAAATCTATTGGACTCATTCTTAATTTTATCATATTTCTCCAGAGTGAGAAATCTACTTATTTAAACCCTAAGGCAATGTTAGGAAATTCCCATGGTTTTCTGCTTGGATATTCCCACTGTCCCACAGGCCTACTTTCCAGCTCTTAGGGATACATGTAAGACTACTGCTAGCCCTGTGTCACATTAGATAAAAGCCTGTGCTAAAAAAAAAAAAAAAAAGAACCTTTGATTACAATAACACTCCAGCTTAAGAAATAAATGCATGGTCATTATTGGCTGCCCATCAAACTGGGGAGCAACTCTGGACTGGTCGCTCATCTCTTCCCTTCTTTTTCCTGCCCTGTCAGCTGTTGGACTTGTACAGTTGTGTAGAGACATAACTGTTGTGCCTCGTCTGTGGGTGTGATGTACCTTCTCCACACTGTAGTCTTCTCTCTTGATGGAAACTGTTGCTAGAGCTGCTGGAACACCTGGGGGGATCTTCTGGCATGAAAGGTACTGGGTATGAGTCATTTGTCATAGGCTTGGTGTCATAAGCAAGAACATATTGTCCCTATCCTACTCATTCCAGGCATGCTGTGCCCTGATCTAAATTTGTATAGTAATCCTTGGAGTGTTACAAAATGTATTTGTCTATATATGTGTTCAGGGTGCTTTATGTGTTGATACTTTCATCTCAAGGGATTTTAAAGTGCTATACTCACTAATCTATGAAATCCCTTGTAGGTGGTAAGTAGGTGACAAGTGCTAATATCTCCCTTTCATATTTTTATGCTGAAGTTAATTTGAATATTTCAGTTCATCACCCAGGCTCTTTTCCACTGGCAATCGTGTTAAGTGATTTGTTAACAGAACTTTTTACTTAGATTTCCCACCATGAGAATGTTGATGTTGTGTTCATCAGAGAGTATGATGGGCTGCTCAAATTTCCTTTAATGGGTTCTAGAGTTGCTATTCCTCTGCATCTTCCTTGAGTAAACTAAGTTCCCACTGGGACATGGCAGATGACTTGCATTCACCACCCCACCTACATAGATGAGGAAGCTTAGGCTCCAAAAGAGTAAAGGCTGCCAAGATAAAAATCATCTAGGAATGCACAGACCAGGAAAAGAGCAGCTGTAGTCACCTGCTCTGACAGCCCACCCTCTCCAAATAGCTTGCTATAGAATCCTTTAGGTAGACAGAACACCTCTGGACTCTGTAATTCAGAATCCCATTTTGAGTTGGTGTCTGATGGCAATAGGAAGGCATCTTCTGGGCTGAAGACTTCATCTCTTTGGGGAAAAGCTTTACTTTATTCCTATCATCACATAAGTCACTGCAAGTAGGGAGTTGGTTGTTCTCTCATCCACCCACATCTTCATCTTTTGTGAGAAGTGGAATCTGTACCTGGTGACTCAGGGAGGGTAACCTAAGAGCATTTAGCTCTGTGCTTATCTTTGGGAATAGAGTCTTTTTTTTTTTTTTTTCTTCTTCTTCTTCTTCTTACTTAATGACACATCAGATCTTATAAAGAGGGAGCATGTCAGTAATTTGGCAAAATGTTTTGATAAGGGTGCCCCACACACTCACACTTCTGGCCTGACTCATTTTTATTTTTAAATAAAGTGAAAAAAAGATTTTTAGCTTCCGTTAGCAAGCTGACATTCTTACTTCTCGGGAGGGTCCTTTATGTTTTTAAGGAGTGCTGATGTGCTGTGGAGTGATGTGCTGTTGGAGCATAGAAGGCAGCAGGGTTAGAAGCAGATGGGTCTGAGTTCCCGACTGAACTCTCCTGATTCCCACCACACTGCCTTGAGAAAACCACTTGAGTTCTTCGGGCCTTGGGCCCCTCATCTGAGACACCAGAGTGGCATATGGCTTCTACGGCTTTTCTTTTTCCTTGAAGATTTCACGTCAAGTGTATCAAGACCGTCGTGTTGGCAAGTCCTCAACAAGCAATGCTTCTTTAGGAGAAAAGAAGTTTTCTACTGGTAATTGAGAATGACAGATTAGGGAGCTGGTTACTTTATGCAGTCATATCATGCTGTAATTTCATGTCCTCAAATTCATCCTCTGCAAGGATTTGAATAAATCAGAACTTGGCCATATTCCTTAAGGTGAATTCCATGCTTCACTCAACATCCATACCTGCTACATCTACTACATTTAACTAAAGTGTACTTAGAGTGGCTGAGCCTTAGACTTGTCACAATGACCTGTACCTCTCACCAATTAAACAAACAAAGCTTACCTTCCACATGGTTCTCTTTGCCAAAGCACCCACTTGTGAATCTGTTTCTGAGGAATCACAGACTTTTTTTTAGCTCTACAGACACATTTTAATCTGATCTTATAGATTTACAGTAGCATATGGTTTACTGGATTTGTTTTAATCACATATTTGTGTTAATAACGTGCTATTTTTGTAGTGAAGGCCAGAAAGATGGTAAAATTGGAAAGTGAAAATCTCTTAAATGTTGGGTGGGCATTTTCTAGAGTATATTAACTCTAGGAAGTCTATCCAGATTGTTTTCAAGCAGATCATTAGACATCCATAGGCTTGGCTGAAAAGGCAGGTGAAATAAATAACTTACTAAGGAGAACAAAAATTATTCACATGCCAGGACTGATTGACATATGTCAACAATATGATGAGAGCCTTACATGAATTTTATTTCCTTTTAATTCTCCAAATACTCATCATTCACTGGCATGGGCA